GGGTTGTGCAGGCTTCCTATTGGGGTCAATGCTTTCTTCCCTCCTAGTGTCCCTGGAGTAGTTCCTGCTTCCTTCTTTGTGTCTTTAATTAGATTCTCTGCAGGAAAAAAGTAGGAAGTGGCTGTGTTTCAGATCTGGTGGACTTCTCATCTGGGTCCTTCCTGTCACCATGTCTCTGATGGTCGCTCTCTGGGTTGACAAGAAAAACATTGTAAGGATTCCTGTCCCCTCACTGAGAGCAAATCTCCCACCCTCCACATAGTGCTGAGCGGGGCACACGGAGTCCAGGCCCCAAACCTCACCAGTGATGATCAGCCCCTCTCTCTGCCCCAGGAGGAGCCCTTTGGGGGCAGTTAGCCACTTGCCTCTCACTGACATGACTGCACATGGAGGTTTAGGGTCTGACCCCTGTGGGCGCTGCCCCTTCGTGAGCCTGGCAGGTGGACTCAGCTCCTAGGGTGTCCTGGGACACAGGCCAGAAGGACACCGAGTGATGGACCCTGTCACAGCCCTGCTGGGCCTTGTTTTCTGTGAGTCTCAGAACCTGGTCCCTGGGGACATGTCCCAACACCAGTCCCACTTCCCCTGGAGAATCCACCTGCATTCTGAGACCCTGCTGAAGGGAGACATGGTCCCTCCCACCTCTGCTGTGCCTCCAGGTCAGCAGACACCACCCCATCCTCACCCTCTGTCCTCTGCCGCCCACAATCTCATGGGGCCTACACAGGACATCCTGAGGGGATGTGTCTGCTCTCTCCTTCCCGCCCTGGTATGTTTTGCCTTAAATGCAGCCCCACATCATCCCCTCATGCCCATCCACTGTGCCAGGCCCTCCCTGAGACACCAGGGCCAAGACCACTCAGCTGTCCTGCTGAGCCCATGTGCAGTGCACATGTGGGATGTCAGGTCCTGGGGGCCCCACCTGTGTCAGGTGGAGACACAGCTAAGCGCTGAGCTCAGAGCACCTCCAACAGCTCACACCTGTGCTGAGGGAACCTCCAAGGAGGCTGTGAGCTGCAGAGCATCATGGTGGACAAGCCCGTGGCCACTGAGTTCAGAGGGCAGTCAGTGAATGGGTGGGGTCTGGTAACCTATAATGTTGCCAACATCCTGCTAACCAGAGCCCAAGTGCACAGGGAACTCTGTGAATCCCAAAAGTGCAGGGACAGCCCACCCAGTGTTGCTCAGAGGTTGAGCATCAACCTATGAACCAGGAGGTTATGGTTCAATTCCCGGTCAGGGCATATGCCCAGGTTGCCGACCACATCCCCAGTGTGGGCCCTGGAGGCAGCCACGAGGCAGCCAATCAATTATTCTCTCTTATTATTGATGTTTCTATCTCTCAACCTCTCCTTTCCTCTCTGATATCTATTAAGAAATATTTAAACAAATCCTATATAATAAAGAGTGAATATGCAAATGTCCATCACGCCGTCAAACCATCACACAGTGATGGCTCAGACACTCAACACTGGGGAGAGAGGAGTGGGGACCAGCCAGGCACAAATGAGCTCGTGAGAGAGAAATGGGGACCAGCCAGTCTGTGGCCTGGGAGAGGGACAAGCTGTCCGTCCCATGGTCCAGGGCACCTGTGCCTGCAACCAGCCACAGTGAAGCTTTCCCAGGTCCTGGTGCCTGCGGCTGGCCAGAGGGAGGGAGCCAGGGTCGCAGGTGTCTGTGACCAACCAGAGGAGGGAATCCTGGGTCCCAGGTGGGGAGGCCAGGCAGAAGCGATTAGGGGCATTCAGGCCAGTAGGGGAACAGTTAGGGAGGATCAGGCAGGCAGAGGGATACACGCAATCAGGCAGGCAGGCAGGTGAGTGGTTAGGAGCCAGTGGTCCCAGATTGCAAGAGGCAGTCGAAAATCCCCCAGGCATCCTGGATTGGAGAGGGTGCAGGGTAGGCTGAGGGACCCCCTCCCCTTGCATGAATTTTATGAACCGGGACTCTAGTAAACACATAAAAGATAAAGTTGCTGGTGTGATTCACAATATGGGCATATGTATAAGGCAACTGATCAATATGTCTCTCTCACATCAATGTTTCTCTCTGTCCTTCTCTCTGTCTCCTTTCCTTTCCGTCTAAAAAT